AATTTCTACTTAGTATTACAATGAATTAGACTTGTATTTCATGGGGCTTTTGCCTAATTATCATGTATCATGATTTGTTGCAACTTAGCTTCATTAATGTGGTTAATGAACTTGTACCCTTACATTGGAATGATTTAGTTGTTCAAGAGTCGTCGAACCAATAATTAAATCATTAATCTTATACTTGAGGTATATTCACATCAATGGATTCCTTGTATTTTAAATCCTAGTTTGTAATTTATATCGATGCACTTGATGATTTCTTGACATTTCACATGCCATCATAGTTGTGAATCTAAGGCATGACTTGTGTGTTCCAAAATCTTGGTTGTGCATGGAATGTGGTTTAATGCATTTCTTGTATCTTGATACTGTCTTGACTTGCACAACTTGTTGATTTTGGAACTTGGGATATCAATCAAGAATTGACATGGTTATGACTCGGTTCTAGTACAGGGGAATGTCGCTCTATAACTATAGTGCGCGCTAGGGGAAAGGTACCCATGGGTTAGTAGCCCTAAAGTGATCTCAAGAGTACGGTTTTAATCCGGGCGATATCCAAGTTTCCACATTGGTTGATTTCACTCTTTAAATTTCAAGTTGCTATTTCTTGAAGATTTAAACTTGTCGTGTATGTGAAATGCACCAATCTTGTCTCATTGCATAGATTTTATGCTTCATTCGTGATTTAACTCCTTAAATTTCAAGTGTTGTATTCCTTGAAGATTTAAGACTCTTTTCGTGTTATGTGGTAGGTTCTACCCATGTTTAAATGCACAGATATTATGCTTTGTTCTTGAATCCATGTATAACTCTTATCGTGTCAATTGGAATGTTCTAATCTTGTTCATTTGCATAGATATTATGCCATGTTTTTGATTCCATGTATGACTCTTTTTGTGTTTCATGTAACGTCCCATTCTTGTTTAGTTGTATAGATATTATGCTTTATTTTTGATTTCATGTATGACTCTTTTCGTGTTTCATAGAATGTCCCATCCTTGTTAATTGCATAGATATTATACTTTGTCCTTGAATCCGTGTTTAACTTGCATAGATATTATGCCTTGTTCTTAAATCCGTGTTCAACTTGCATAGATATTATGCCTTGTACTTGAATCCGTGTTTAACTTGCATAGATATTATGCCTTGTTCTTGAATCCGTGTTTAACTTGCATAGACATTATGCCTTATTCTTGAATCCTTGTATAACTCTTATCATGTTAATCAGAATGTACTAATTTTGTTAATTGCATAGAAATTGTGCCACGTTTTTGATTTCGTGTATTATCCCTATCGTGTTAATTGGTATATGCCAATCCTGTAAATTGCATTGCTTTATGTGATCCATGTATTCTAGTATCTTCTTGTCGTGTTGTATGGATTATTCCAAATCTTGCTTAATTGTATTGAAAATGCAATTCATGTTAATTTATATTTAAACATTCTTCTTGTCAAGTTCTTTGGATTATCCTAACCATGATTCGTTTCATATACGTATGTATAACATGATTCTTGTTGCTTAAACTCTAAGGTAGCTTAGGATGCTCCCTGAGTCTCACTTTGACATAGACGTTAGGTAGCATGAGCCCCTTTAATATGTTTCACCTTAAGGTGATAAATTTGTAAAATGCTAGGTCGATGCATGCCCATTTCCTACGAGTAGCTTTATGTTGCTCACCCCAAAGTTACTGGGGCATATTTTAGGTATGAAGACTTGATTCGTGATGCTTAGCATTCCTTGAATGTCGTGTAGTTTTCAAGTTTCCATTTCATGCAAATGTTAGTATGAAATGTCATTTTTTAGCCTCACATGTAAGACTTGTATTCTTTGATTCTATGTATGTAATATGTACTTAAGTACACTCTTTACAATGTATTTGACATGTATGAGATGAGGCCAGAGGCCAATGACTATTATATTGTATTCTATGTACTTTTTAACTTTATGAAATATTATGAAAATCTTGAAAAATCGCAAGTCATTGCTTCACCATGGTTGCATCGGGTGTGGGAATTTCATTCTCATTCTTTCATAGGGTCTTATTAATCTTGTATGAAGTGTGGCCAAGGGCCAAACGGTCATTTGACCCTATTTTATATTTTTGGATTCCATATTTTTCATTCCAAGTCCATTTTTGCCTTTTCGGCCATTGGGGGGTCGAATTTTGCATCAGCGGTATTTTTAAACTATGGACCATTGTAGCACGTCTAAATAGGTAGGTTACGTTTGCGTGCATGGTCGTTTCAGGGTAAAACCTCATCGTTTGTGTTTTGAGCCTTCTACGGACTCATTTTGCACTTTTGTTGCATAGTCTTATCTAGGGGCATTCTAGACTTTTCACTATAGTTTTATTTTCTTATTTCATCATGGTTGAATTGAAAACATGATTTTAGGGGGGGTTTCTTTTTCTTGTTTTTCCAGAAAATGTTGTCTTGGTATCGGAAATCGCTTACGAAGTTCAGCCTTCAGTTTTTCAATTTAGTAGCTTTTTGGACCTCCATGACCAGATTTATTGGAGGGGCATTTTGGGCATTTTACATTGCATTTATTTTAATTATCTCTGGAATCACGTAGAAAACTAGATTTTGAGGGGGGTTTCTTCTTTGTGTGTTTCCAGAAAATGTCATCTAGGCCCTAAAATTTTCATTTTTTTCGAAAAAAACCCCTACTGCCAGGTTTTTGCTGAGTTGTAGTACAAGTGTACGGATGATGAATCTCGTAACCGGTTAGATGAGTGTGGGCAGTGAGTTGGTCACTGATTTTTGCCTTCTAATCGGTTTGAAAGATCTCCTAACCGGTTAGATGTTCATGGGTTGTCTCTTTTGACCTTTTTGCCCCTGTTTCTTCCGTGAGCCATATCTTCTTCGTCCGGACTCCGAATCCCGCGATTCTTGAGTCCATCTTACTTGATTTTTCGTTTTCTTTGCAATGGTGTGGTTGGTAGAACCCACTTTCAGGTTGGAAGTTACCATTTTGCCCCTAGGTTAATTCTTGTCTCTTTTTGTAATGTTGCTTCCGCATTTATTTTCTTTGGATTCCGTGACCTCATTGATGGTCACATTGGTGTCTTAGGGATGTTTTGTGTCTCTTGAGACCATTGTTGGTCTTTTGCTTCTGTATTTCGGATCCGTTATCGGGTCATCTTTCGGTTCGACACTGACGCACAGGGTTAAAAAACTTGGGCCCTCACAAACTCTCTTATTCACATCATTACTCTCAACGGCGCCTACCCATGTTGAAGAAATTGTGCAGCTATGGAGACTCATGAAGAAATTTATGAGAAGATTGTTTTGAAATCCGAATTTTCTGATAACTTTTTGCCATTGTGTAATGAACTATCTTTATTTTTTATTTTTTATTATTATTAAAACTCTTTTGGGAGGCAATTTGGAACAATGTAATTTGGCTTGTCTGGTTTTGGTATGTTATTTTTTATGAAATTGCTATTATAGAATGTTTTTAATGTTAAAGTAACATTTATTGCCCATTTTTTAATGAATCTTTTTAATAATTATATAAATTTTAGTTGATAAAAATATTAAATGACGGAGAAATTTTGGTTTTAAACGGGGCAGGGCGGGTACCTGCGGGGGTAAAAATGTTAAACGTGGGCGGGGATGGGGTGGAAAGTCCCTCTGTTTTTGTGGTTTTGGGCGGGGACGGGGGCGGAGTTCTAAACGGTTATGGGTGCGGGGGCGTGTACACCCGCCCAAACCCGCCCCCGTTGCCATCCCTAGCCACGACCAGGGTCATGATCTCTATGGAAAGAGTGGTAACATAAATAAGTTAATAAAATAAAAAAAGAAAGGAAAATATAATATAATATTATATATATATACACACGCATACATACATACAGGCGCACACATGCATATTAAAAAAGGAAACCGGTAATCGGTTTTTTGACCCATAAACCTATTGCACGAATTGTGGCACCATTTAATGAATATCATGATTGGTGATTAAGTAATTAAGGAAAGAAATTCGAAATAATATAATGTCTGCAATTCTTTTTGTAACCGCCAAACATTGCTTGTTCACCGATCCTAATTGGCCTTTTAAATACTAGGCTTCACATTGCTACATAGAGGGAGAAAAACCCTAAAAGAAAGGATACACACTAATTTTCAGATCCGTGTTAACCCTGCGGCAATAAGCCCTTCTCCAATATTATCCTCTTTTCTCTCTAATTTATGTCGGCAGACCAATGATCCACTGCACACCAATTGTCAATATATACTGCACAGAAAGCCTCCAATATGCAACTTTAGCGTATAGGCAATAACCTTCAAGTTCCCAGAAAGAAGTCGAAGCTCTGCCCAAAGGTTCCCGAAAAACAAAAATATTTTGATGCCTACAAGAGGTATTTTTCCTAAACTTCTCTTTGTATAGATCTCTATTTATTTATTTAGATTTTTCTAAACTCTATGTTTCATTAGATTTATTTTATGCAAATTATTCATAAATAATTATTTTTCTCTTAAGTATCATTATTTTTAGAAATAATATTTTCTAATCTAAAGAACATGTTGATTTTTGGTGAACATTCTAATCTGTCTACTTTGTGAAATGGGTTGGAGAGTATCAAATTTCTCTTAATTCTTATCACACTAAATTTATTTCTCTTTCATACAAGAGATTATTTATGTTTGTGACGTTGTTCATTTTCTAAGTTCTTGAATTTGATGTGGTCATTTTAATCATTGTAAACAATGTGATTGATGAGAAAGAATCATTGCAGCCAATCCTTTATGCTACGTTTGGTGTGTAGGAATGGAATGGAATCCAAGTGGGAATGGAATGAGAATGGGAATGGAATGGAATGGTCATTCTCATTCTATTGTTTGGTTGTAAATATGAAATGTGTAGGAATGGAATGATAATAACCATTCTAGTGTTTGGTTGGACCAATTTAAAATTTAGAATGGAATAAATTTCTAATTAAATTCTCCAAAATATCCCTCTTAGTAACAAATAAATTAAATTAAATTAACGATTATGGTGGTGGCGGAAGGCGGCGGCGGCGGCGGCGGCGGCGGCGGCGGTAGTGGTGGCAGTGGCGGCGGCGGTAGTGAAAGGCGGTGGTGGTGGTGAAAGGTGATGGCGGTGGTAGTGATGGAAGGTGGTAGAAGGTGATGGCGGTGGTGGAAGGCAATGGCAGCTGCGTTGATGGTTGTGGAAGGCGGTGGTCGTTAAAGGTGGTGGTGGCGGTGGTGGTAGTGGTGGCGGTAGCTGTGGCGGTGGCGGTGGCAGTAGTGGTGGCGGTGGTGGTAGTGGCGGTGAGAGGCGGTAGCGGCGGTGAAAGGCGGTAGCAGTGGTGAAAGGCGGTGGTGGTTGCGGCAAACGGTGGTGAAGGGCAGCGGTGGTGGTGGCGGTAGCGGTGGTGAAAGGCTGTAGTGGTGGCGGTTACGGTGGTGAAAGGCGGCGGCAGCGGTTGCGGCAAACGGTGGTGGTAGCGGTGGTGAAAGGCGGTGGCGGTGGTGGTAATGGAAAGTGGTGGGCGATGGTGAAAGTCGGTGGTGGTGGAAGGAAGTGGTAACAGTGGTGGTGGTGAAAGGCGGAGATGATTGTAGTGGAAGGTAATAGTGGTTTTTGGACTTAGAATATGAGGGTATTTTGGGAAGTCGATTTTTAAAAATAAATTACTTGAGAATGTAATGGCCATTCCATAGGTTTAGTTGTGTAATGGATTTTCATTCCAATGGAATCGTCATTTCCACTTTAAGTTGCATACCAAACAAAGGAATAGCTAGAATGGGCATTCCATTCTATTCCATTCCTGCACACCAAATGTAGCATTATAGTTAACAATTTGAAAGAGTGATTTATTGAGTAGCTTAACTCTTGTTTTTATTATATACGTGTGTATGAACATGTCCTAATGAGCATTAGGACATCTACTTTATACAAAATATATTAGTTTAAATAATTATGTTTCTCTTAAGAAAAATTATTTTCTAAAACAAGCTATTGTTTTCTATTCTTAATCATGTCTTTATAAAATAATAATATTTTTAGTGTCATGCTTATTAAATGATTATTTTTCCTTGCATAATGTTTCTTTTAGAATCGTATTTTTCTAAGAAGCGATTATGTTTTAGAAATCATATTTTTGAATTAAACACTCATCTTGAAATCTCTAGAAGTAATATTTTCCAAAAATAAAGTTGTTTTTTTACTAGGGCAATTGTTTATCATAATTTAAACACCTTATAATAGGAGATAGGCTGGATTCAACATTTACCTACATTTTTTGGGTGAAAGGAATTATATGTTGATAAGAAGGATATTTTTTATATTTAGAAATAAGAATTCGGAGGGCATTTTGGACTTAAATAATAATTCTTGATATTATCTAATTCAATCAAATTAAAAATTTAACTTTAGAAATAGATTATTTTTATATTTAGGGCTCCTAACTTTATTTATGTATAATTTTTTCAAAAAAAATAATTTATAGTTTTTTTTTTTTTTTTTTTAACACAAAAATAGATGTTATGTCCCCTTAAATCAAGTTCTCGAATATCTAATTTTAAAGATGAAAGCTTTTAATTTGGATAAAATTTGGTTGGTTAGAAGAATTCAACTAGGTGTAAATATTATATAGATATTATGAATGTGTGGTAGTGGGCAACATGATGAATGTGTGGTAGTGGCAACATGATGAATGTGCAATAGGTAACACATCACTACACTTACAACAATTACATGGATGTAGGTGCAAAATTTCGCTCAACCAATAATGATTAAGAAAAATAAAACAACTCACTCAATTAATAGTAAAATAAACAAGAACAATATATCTCGAAGCATAGAATTGCTTGATCCCTTTATTGGAGATCTAAGCATCTATTTATATACAAAAGATTGTAAAATTATGGTAGGACTCGCGTTGCTTGCCCTCCAATTCTTTCTATATAAACATTCTTTACTAATAGAGTTCTTTCCATTGTCTAATTTTCCATACATAGAACTTGCCTTGTACAGAACTTCCTATCTCAAAATTTTCCTTCTACGGTAAATCCTTCAACTGGTAGGACTTGTGCATTTTTGAATAACTGGGCTGAACATATTTTGATCCGGCTGGGCTTGAATAACGGACCGGATGTTAAATATTAACAAGTTGGGCTGATGACCTCTTGATTCAGCCTTGATGGAGGTTGGAGGACAAATAACAATGGTCTCGGGTTATAAATACCCTCAATTTGGGCTTGAGTATGATGGGCCTTATATGTCCTTGGAATGTAGATATGTGTAGTGATGACGTGTGCGCTTTTTATTGGAGGGAGTTTTTTTTCCTCCATACTTTGCCCTAAATTTCATTTTTAATTGAGTGACGGCTCCTATTAAAGAGGGAATTGAAATCGGTTTTTTACTTTGCTTCAGAAACGGTTCGAGGTCTTTCTTTATTACTCCGTCATACAAGATTTTGCAAGAGTTACATTCGCCCTTGCTGCACTTCTGCGTTCTTCATTCCATCGCTTTGTCAGGTTAGTTTTTTTTCGCATCTTTCTCTTCAATCTTTCATTATGAGTACTTTATCTACTCCCGAACGTATAGACATTGGGGATTCTGAATCCACACCTTTATCTTCCCCCGTTTGCATTAGGGCTCCCCCTCCTAGGGTTTCTACATATCGTCTTTCGTTGAATCAATTAGGTACTTCCCCCCTTCCAGCCGAGACATCCACCTTAGGCTCTGATTATGTTCTTACTCATGAAGAGAGGAAAACAATCATCTCTATTCGCCGCATCAAGTTTTCTATTGCTTCGGTAATGGAAGAATTTGATATTCCTGAGGGAGTAGAAATTGCAGAATATCCCGAGGGTGCCGATTTTACCTCCGGCGAGGGAATTGAAGAGAGTGAATTGCTTCTTTCGGTAGGGCATCTTAACGCCCTCCGATTCCCTCTTCATCCCTTCTATCATTTAGTTTTCAACAAGTTAGGTCTTGCCCCCCTTCAGGTAAATCCTAATTTCTTTCGCATCCTTTCGGCACTGTTGGTGCGCCGAAAATTAGAGGCTCTGGATTTGACCCTTGCCGACCTTCTGCTTACTTACAATATATCTAAGCATGGGACTGAGCCTGGTCGCTTCTTTTTTACCTCTCCCCTTCATCAGAGGATATGCACGAACCTTCCTTCATCCGAAAAGAAGTGGAAAGAAAGGATGCTTATAGTTAAAGGAAAATGGTTCGTGCCCCAATCAATTACGCTCCCCATCCCGCGTAAGTTCGGGAAATTAGGTATAGAATACTTAACCTCCCTTCATACCAAGTGTTCTGGCTGTTTTCCTTGCCAAGTCTTAATGTTTTGCCGTACTTATGAGTTTCTTGGTGTTTTTTCAGCTACATTCCCATCCTCCGCAGCAAGGAACAGACTTTCTTTTCTTGAGGAACGAGTCTGGAGTGACCCCTCGCCTATCGAGGACCTGCTAACTTCTTCAAACCTCAAGGATATTGCCTCCAGTGCTGTTGCTGCAGACCTCATGGATCTGTCTCTACCATCCTTTGACAGTTTCCCCATGACTGAGGAGGAGATACGGAGGGCTGAGGCTTTAAAAAAGAAAGCCAAAGATGCCCAACCCTTGGTCGTTATTAGATCTACTGAGGATGAGGTGGAGGCTGAGGAACCACCAATGAAGAAATCTCGCCTCAACCCCCCATCCTCTGGCAAGGGCAAGGTCCCTTCTAAAAGCAGAAGGAAAAAGGCTGGAGAGGCCGAACTTGAAGATGAAGTCAGGGCCTTTGTTTTGGCTGAGACTGGGGCTCCTTGGACTCCTTCCTTCACCAGGGCTGACAAGTCAGTCCTGCACTCAGGGGATTCTGTGATTACAGACCCTTCAGCTGCACTGGCGGTGGCTCTAGGGATGTGGCTCCCAAAGGACGAGGAAGCCATCAGCCAAATGGGGTTGGAACAACTACTCCCCTTTGCCCCGGTCCGGGCCATAGAGGTTCGCATTGCTCCTTCAGAATTATGTTACTCTTGCTTGCTTATGTTTCCATTTATGCTCATATTTGTTCCTCTATTATACAGAGTCTATACCACACCATGGCCCTCTGCGCCACTGCTGAAGCGCAATCCCTCTCCATCAAGAAGCTGGAAAAGGATCTTGACAATGCAGAGAAGAGAGCCACCACTGCCTCTACCAATCTGAAGATAGCTTCTGAAGCCAAGGATGCGTATAAGAGGCAGTTGGCAGCCTCTGAGGCTAAGGTGGATTCTCTTCAGGCCGAAGTTTAACGCTTGACCGAGGCTCTTACTACTTGCTTCAAGGTGGGGAAGCAAATGCAGGGGCGCTACTCCTGTCTGGCACACCTGGCTAGTGCTAAAGCGTTCCGGTCTGGCTATAATCAGGGCTCAGGCCCTAGGACGATGGATCCGGACACTTTTGACAAGCAGGTGGGGGTGCACTTCCCATATGATGAAGGGCCAGAGGCTTTGGAAGCTGAAATCCGCTTTGCCGAGATGGTGAAGGCGCACCTGAAGGGTATTCCTAGCTCTTCTGCCTCTGCGGCTTCAATTCCTCCTACCCCAAGTCCTATTGTAGTGGATGCTTTTGAATCTACTCCCTTTGATCCGAAGAGGAAGTAGAACCATGTATTTTGTTTTTATGGACAGCATGTTTGGGATAATGAATATAATTTTTTGTTTTAGGCTTTCAATACCTGATTTGTTTTTGCTGTATGCTTTTGATACTGTTCATATTTTTCTGACTGGTAATGTGTTTAAACAAAACACATTGTCTTTATGCCTCGGATTTATGCTATCCGAGAAAAAGCAAGGATGGTGGGAAGAAGGAAATCCTTTTAACAGTTTAGTTGATATCTCAGGATGATTCATATGGACAATGTTTTAACTGTTAAGTGAACTCTCATTGCCTTTTACTTGCCTGCAGTAGACGTATACATACTCTTTGCTTCTCGTGTGTTCCTGATGTGGGGTGGATCTTGATGAACTTATGATATATCCACATCCACAGGGTATTAACCACTTGGAGTCTGGAGGAAAGAGTTCTGATCCGGGCACCAAAGGTCTGAAGCGAATTATTCCTCGGCACTGAGTGTGGAGGAATATTGTTGAATAGGACACTTAGGGTCCGAAGCTGTCTCGGACACTTAGGATTCGAGGCGGATTGTCCCTCGGCACTAAGTCGTGGAGGAATAGTGTTGAATAGGATACTTAGGGTCCGAAGCTGTCTCGGACACTTAGGATCCGAGGCGAATTAAACACTCTCTGGCGCGGAGCCGGAGGGGAGGTTTTGCCGAGCCGGACACTTAGGGTCCGGAGCGAGATTTTTGCCGAGCCGAACACTTAGGGTCCGAGGTTAGATTTTTGCCGAGCCAGACACCTAGGGTCCGAGGCGAATGACCTACTCCCCGGCGCTGAGCCTGAGGGGAGGTTTAAATCAATTATTCCCCGGCGCTGAGTCAGAGAGGAGGTTTTGCCGAGCCGGACAATCAAGGTCCGAGGCGAATGAACTACTCCCCGGCGCTGAGCCCGAGGGGAGGTTAAATGAATTACTCCCCGACGCTGAGCCTGAGGGGAGGTGTTGCCGAACCGGACACTCAAGGTCCGAGGCGAATGAACTACTCCCCGGCGCTGAGCCTGAGGGGAGGTTAAATGAATTACTCCCCGGCGCTGAGCCTGAGGGGAGGTGTTGCCGA